CTTTTTTTTCTGCTTATGTGGTGCTGAGGAATCGAACCCAGGGCCTCATGCATGCAAGGCAAGTGCTCTACCATTGAGCCACCTTCCCAGCCCATTAGTATTTATTAATAGTATTTATGTTTATTTATTGTATCAAGTAGTTTCTAGCCCATAAATCTGATAATATGAACTATGAAGGAAACAGAGAAAGCCATATACAATTAAGGTAAATAATATTACAACAGGTATTTTCCTAATATAAATTAGAAATATTAAGATTATTATTATAGCTGTTGAAATTTCTTTTTTTTTCCTCTACAGGTTTAAATTCAAGGCCTCAAGAGCCTTCAACTTGTGAAGCACAAAGTATACCAATTAAGCCATATCTCCAGCCCCAAATTTCACTATTTTAACCCTTCCTACAAACTGTCTTAAGCTAAAAGTAGAAGATTCATGAGTTTTCTTCATGAAAATGTAGGAAGGAATAATGTAAAGTACAAAACAAAAGGAATAAGAATTTAACCATCTAAAATGGATATATTCAGATACAAACCTGCAAATGAGAAACAAGAAAAAATCTGATCCAATTAGTAAGATTTCACCTAAATCAATTAGACTAAGAAAAACAATGTTCAGGAAGGAATGGAGATTAAGCCATACATTAGACATTGCCTTCGTGTTAATACAAAAGCATTATTCTTAAATGGAAAGGTGAGTAGAATGCCTTCTTGTGGATTTGAAATATATGCAAAGAATATAGAATTTTTTCTTAATATAAATCTTCTTATAAATAGAAAAGTAATACCATTTCATCAAATGATAACTAGATAGGTTCACAAGAAAACAATAAATGATCTACAAATACATAAAAGAACCTTTAACCTCAGTAGTAACAAAAATGTTAAGAGCAAGAAATGATGTTCCTATAAAAGCAAAGATCGCTATGTATAACACACAGAATTGTCAGCTATAAGTATAAATACAGTCTTATACACTACTGGAAGAAATGTAAAGTGGTAAGTAAGCTTTTGTCTGGTATTTTTGAGAGAAGTCTTGCTAATGTAGGCCATCTACCCTCAAATTGGCCAATTGACCTGCCTCAATCTACTAAATGCTGGGATTACTGGTATGTGCTATTGTGGCTCAATAAAGTATCATGTTCTCATGTTTCTTTTTATTTCTGTGGTACTGACATTTGAACTCAAGGCCATGCATTTGGCTAGGGAGGTGTTCTATCACTAGTTCTATTACAATCTATACTGACCTAGTAAAAAGCAAGAGCTATTTGAAAAACAGGTGTTTTTTTTTTTTTTTTTTAACCAGGTCAGTATAAACTGTAATCACCTATTTATGTTGATTTTTAAACTGGGATGACAGGCATATAACCACTACAGCCAAGTTTTATTAGGTAAATCTCCACCAAAAAAAAAAAAAATCAGAGAGCCTTCTACAGAGGTCCAGAATATGCTTATGTTTTTTGCTGCACTATTTATAATAACCATGTTATGGAGTTAGGCCAAGTATCCATCAAAGGATGGCATATATGAAGAATGGAATTGTGTTCAGCCATAAGGAAGAATGATACGTCAATTTCAGGAAAACTGATGAAACTAAATGGAGAAATGAGCCAGATTCACAAAGATAAATATCTCTCATATGCAAAATATAAGAGAATGTGGGGAACATGAACGTAAAAAGGGAAGTAGATTTGTGGCTCAGGTGGTACCAAGTATGGTATAAGCAATAAAGCCAAGTAAGAGCTTGAGGCCCTAAATTCAAGTCCTGAGACCAGAGATGAGAAAAGGATAGGAAAGGAAGAGTAATAAAGGGGGTGAATATGATCAAAGTACACCATGTATATCTGTGAAATTATTTTGCACAACTAATGTATGCTTTAAAATGGTAAATAGATAACATTTAAGGTACAGCACACAATAAAACAAAAAGTATACTGGTCAAGCACAATTATATTGAAAAAATATTTTTCCTATGAAGCATCACTTCAAAATTACATACAAAATAACTACAATCAGGATTACAGAAATGGACCTAGAGTATAAGGAGGAAAAACTTACATTACAAACGGAACAGTTATAGATAGGAAAGCCAAAGATTGAGGGAATCACTAAAACTCTACCACTGAAGTCACTGGCAGAATGTGAAATACTCCCCTTTCACACTGAACTACCCAATAAACTCTAGTTGCAAAATCCACTGAACTAGACCAGAGCAGCTTATAAAACACTTTAACAAGGTATACAAAGCCTTGCTTTATTTGGCTCTTACTTTAATGCACATCCTTGTCTCCCTTTGCATCCTATATATTAACACAGTATTTTCTCACTCAAATTTAAAATATGTTCCCTATTTTGCTGGTCCAACTGAGTAGTCAAATCTTAAGACATGGCTCAAGTTTAAAGCTTCTCTATGAATATTTTCCCTTCCATACCAATTCCTTTATAGTCTATAACTTTTCCTTTTATACTCCCATTAATATACAGTATAATACCTATGATATTTGAGTACAATTATTTATTCATGTATCTTCTATTTAACTATTAGTCCCTAAATGCAAAGTTGCTATTTTATTCATTCTTTTATGTATACTTAACTAGCACTTATTGTAGCACAGTAAGAACAGAATAAACATACAGTGAACAGATACATGAACAAGTTCAATTTGGTCTTTCTGAACTCAGCTATGGAAAGTCTTGGAAATGAAAAATACTCTCCCTTCAACAAGACTCAATTACATATCTTAAACTTGTGGTGGAGAACTATGAAATATAAACTTCACTTTATCCAGAAGTAAAAAAAAGTTTTATGGTTCATTCAAAAACTGAAATATCATGATCAATGTTTATGTTTCAATGTACTATAATCATAATAATCTACTTTTGATGTACTCAATTATAAAAAGCAAAACACCATAAAAATCATCTTATGAATCACATTTTTTTTTTTTGGGTCCGGTCGTGGGGCCTGAACTCTGGGCCTGGGCGCTGTCCCTCAGCTCTTCAGCTCAAGGCTAGCGCTCTACCACTTGAGCCACAGCACCACCTCCGGCTTTTTTCTTCTTGCTTATGTGGTACTGAGGAATCGAACCCAGGACCTCAGGCATGCAAGGCAAGCACTCTACCACTGAGCCATCGTCCCAGACCCATGAATCACAATTTTTAAAATATTATTTTCACAATGTTAAGAGAAAATTTTTAATAATGTAGAAAAAACTTATATAAACTAAACCAAATATAAAACATCCAACATGATACAAAATAAAGTTAACTATTCCTGAGTCCATATGATATAAAATTATTAATCTCAATACTACTAACAACAACAAAATAATTACATCTACCAAAAGAGTATTTACTATATGCTACTTACCATTATATTTCATACTCCTACCAATTCTTTACTTTGGTATTAGTATCCTTCTGAGATAGCTCTCACTTGGTTTCTGAGAAATTCAGTGAGCTAAAAGGTCTCAGAAGCAATGAATAGGAAGGGAAGATATACCTAATTTCAAAGCTATTCTCCTCAAGGTATTTTTTTTCCCCTTTCTGGGACTTGACTGTCCCTGAGCTTCTTTTGTCCAAGACTATTGCTCTACAACTTGAGCCACACTGCCGCCACTTCCAACTTTTTCTGAGTAGTTTATTGGAGATAAGTCTTGTGGACTTTCTGCCTGGGTTGGCTTTGCACCCTGATCCTTTGACCTCAGTCTCCTGAGTAGCTAGGATTACAAGTACGAGCCACTAGTGCTTGGCTAAAGCCTAGTTCCTTTGTACAACAATTTTGATCTTAATCCTTCAACAAAATATGTTACTCAATTTGTTCAGTATTAAAGTGGACTGACATTAAATTTGGAAAATAAATATCAGCATTAAAGCAAAATGAAAACCTCAAGGTAAACTTTTCCTATGATGTTAAGAGTAATTGAATAACATACTGCAATGGAGACATAAAAAAGAAATTGAAGACTGAGTGTCAATGGCTCATACCTATAATCCTACCTACTGAGGAGGCGGGGATCATGGTTCAAAGCCAGGGTAGGCAGGAAAGTCTGTGACTTTTACCTCCATTAATTACCAAAAAAACTGAAAGTGAAGGAGTAAAAAAGAGTAGAGCGCTCTTCTATTCTTTAGCATAAAAACTCAGGGACAGTACCCATGCTCTGAGCTCAAGCTCCAGAATTGGCACAAACAAATAAACGAATAAACAAAATGTTTTCCTTCATGTGACCAAAAACAGAAACAAAAAAAGTTTTAAGGATAACAACTGTTTATTAAACAAGTGATGTAAAGTATCAAATTGGGAATGGAGGCATGGTTCAGTTGGTAGAGGGATAGTCAATTAGCAAAAGTGTCAGATACCAAGTTCAAGTTGCGGTCTTGAACTAACTAAATGAATAAACAAATAAATAAAGTATCAAATAGTCTATTTTTAGATCAGTAATTATTGTTTAAATTAATTACCCAACAAATTTCCTAGGTTTTTATAATTAATAAATGATTAAATTTCTAATATTTCAAAGTTTATAACTTTAACATTTAACTCTTAGGATAAAAATGTTGTAAACTGTTGATTATTAGCAGCATGACTATGTAAGTTATCATTCAAATCTTTGTATTTTTGAAGACAAATGCAGTAATGAGCCAAATGGAAGAACAGGTTTAAACAAGACTGTCCCAGCACAGTGAAACATGTAGACCCTGTGACTCTTGTACTACTTACCACATTTACAGCTTTCCTCTATTACTACCCACTTTAACTATCTACACACCTAGTATGTAAAACCATTTGGTCCCAAAACTGAGTACTAGAACTAGCATAAGAGTACTTTCTTCACTAACTATATTTAAAGAAACTATTTTGAGCTGGGTCTGTAGCTAGATTGTAGAAGGTATGTTTCACCTGTTGGAAACCCTTTGATTCCTAGGACCACAAAAACAAGTTGACTTTTTTAAAAAGCTATTTCATTTGACATTTACATAAAGTGTCAATAACTTCAACTATACCTCATCCTGAAGTTCATCACCACTTTTAATAGAAGCAAGCATATCATATAAGGTACAGCAAAGATCTTCTATTCTTGGTGCTTCAGTCATTTCCTTCAAAGTTGCATTTAAATATTTCTCAACTTCACACCACAAGAAGGAACCATTTGTTTTTTCCACAGGCTTGAGTTCCGGGGTGCCATGCTCCTGAAAATGTTCATTCAGAAACTTCTTATAATCTAGGCTTATAGTTTTCTGGGCTTCACCATTTACTGGCAGTTCATCAAAGTGGTCCAGATCATGCATATCAAATGAAAATGCTAAATTTTTACCAAAAAATACTCTATTGCTACATCCCTTTTCTGTCATCTGGATAAGAGCAGTAACATCATCTTGACTAAAATGAGAAACAATTCGGTTAGTGGCATTACAAGCTGCAGTGGCAGATGATGATGGAAAGGGACCAAACATCTGTTTGATAGCCTTTGTCTCCATGTGACCAACAGAGTCCTTCAAGTGAAAGGTCATAAAGAGAAATGCAGCCCCACTCTCAATGGCTTCTCTTCCATTTTCCATTCCAACTATTTAAAGACAAAAGAAACAATATAAGCTCACCTGAATTATAGTTCAACTTACCATTTTGAAATTTAAAAAAAAGCACTACGACAAACATTTTAAAGTTTAATCCAACATTTAAAACATGCTAAGAATGGTAATTTAGGACAGGAAAATCTTTACCCAAATCCCTCAAAACCTATTTTAAGTAAATAAACCATTATCAGCAATTATTTTACAAATAAGTATAGAAACTACCTAACAACTCTAACTTCTTCCTAAAACCAACTTGAGACATCAGCTAAAACTTATTTAAAACCAAATTTTAAAAACAAATTTGATGATATAATTTGATGATATAATTAATAAGGTAAAAATAATCTATTTTGCATATTTGGAGCTGAAGGAAGGTTCAAATATTTATTTTTTCAATTTGTATCATAAACCTTGATGATAATACAGTTACATAGATTTATATAGCTCTCATAAAGAAACAGTTAATACCATCTTAGCCATATTTATAAAACAAAAAGAAAGCTGCTATCATAAAGGTTTAAGAAAGAAATTCAGATTAAAGAAGAGAGATAAATGGTTAGTTCCTAATTTCTTTAAGGCAATAACTACTCATATCCAATGTTCTGAAATTAAAAAAAAGTTTGTGACATAGATTTCAGAGAATAATCCTACAGCAGAAAAAAACAAATTTAAATCTTCAAACCCTGAGGTCAATATGACCTACCTAAGGTGACATTGTTAAAGTCAATTTAATTACTCACACTAAATCTAATTTGTACATAGCTGACGGCACTATCTAGATCCAGAAAGGATCTGCATTAAGATTAGGACAAAACATCTACAGTATAAGCAGCAATATGTACCAAAGTCTCCTAAACAGACAAAAGGCTAGTGAGTATGAGGAAGTAAAACTCATGTCTAAAGCAGAACTGGATGTAAAGATGTTTTCAGAGAAAGATGAGAATAGATTCCAAGAAGCGGAGAGTACGTTAGGAGTAGGTACAAACCTGCTAAATTTGAAACTTCTTAAACTATAGCAGTGCAGTGGTGAAATAATATGATAATTTTATTTTTATTTTTGCCAGTCCTGGGGCTTGAACTCAGGGGCTAGGTGCTATCTCTGAGCTGCTTTCGCTCAAAGCTAGCAGTCTACTACTTAAGCCACAGCTCCACTTCAGGCTTTTTGGTAGTTTATTAGAGATAAGAGTCTCACATACTTTACTATCCCTGCTGGTTCTGAACAACAATCCTCAGATCTCAGCCTCCTGAGTAGCTAGGACTATAGGCATGAACCATCAGTACCTGGCAAACTCTGATATGTTACTAGAGAAATCATCTGTTTCCTTTAACTGTTTTTATTCAGAAAAGAAACCTGCATTAAGTATAGAGCACAAATTCAAATTATAATTTCCTTTAAATATCATCAATTAATGAGAATATTAGTATATTAGTATATAGTAGAAATGCAAACAGTAAAAGCACAATTCACTACACTAGGCAATCATGGACAAACAGACAATGAGAGATTGAGACAGAATTGAAGGTTTAGGGTTCTTTTGTTTTTCGGCAGGATTGGGTTAAACTGAAACAAGGACCCCATAGTTGCTAAGTGAGCCATTTTGTCAACTAAGAACTACATGGCTTTAAAAGTTCCTTGAAGCTATATTAAGTTTATGATTTACCTAATCCTTATTTCAACCAGGACAGTAGTTTTCATACCTAAATTCCTATAAATCCTTCACATATGACTGTATTATAACTGGTCATTTACTATTCTCCCTATCACTTAGACCTAAGCTCATTGAAAGACAAAAATCTCTTTCATAATTATTCATGCTTACCAAGAAACCTGCGCCTTTCACTGTATAGTAAATAGTTTATAAGGAATGTATTATTTTAAAAAGAACTATACCTATTTGTTTTGCGGCTTGTAATATATCTCTTAAATCTTGATTTATGTTTTGCATTTGACTCTTTTCCAGTTTTTCATTCAAAAATTTCACTATACTGTTCCATGTTGGGCCCAAATCTAAAACTTGTTCTTGAAGTTTGGATCGCTTCAACTGAAACAGATAATACACAAGAATACTGGTTAAAGTTTTTCTCCAATCCATAAAATACCGAATATACTTTACAAAACATTGGTACTGCCCACCAAAACTCAAAGTTGTTATCTATCCGTATCCAAAACAATTATTCTCAAGACCTTTATTTAACTGTCATTCCATAGAATCTCATTTGTCTAAAAGGTACTTAATAAAAGCTTCTTGTTTACTGTTTTTATTATAATGTAAAATCAGTATGAAACCATTTCAAAGCAAGCCAATGTAAAAAGCCCAAATACACAGACAATAACAATTATTAATATTCTACATTCTTCTTTTCTAACTCCTTGTCTTTACTATAGCTTAGACTATAGTGTAGATGTAACAATTTTGTGCCATACTATTTGATAAAAGGCATTGTGTATAACATTAATTAAATCTGTAACTATATGTAACTTATTTTATAAGGCTTAATACAAGCAAGTTTCATTCAAAAATTATTGCTCAGATGCCCTACAATAGATGGGTAGATCAAAAAAAATGTGGCACTTACATATACACTCGACTTTAACACAGGCATTAGAAAAAACATTATGTCATTTGCAGGAAAATGGATGGACTAAGAAGAAATCATGGTAAGTAACGTAAGCCAAGCTCAGAGACATAAATGGCACATGTTTTCTTTCTTATGCAGAAGATAGATCTAAAATATACTGGGATAGGATGAATTATACAGGCCACTAGGCACTCAGTAAGACCAAAGGAGAATATTCTTAGGAAAGGAACACAAAAGCACAATATCTATGTGCATATGATAATATAAACTAGTATTAATAAAAATAAACTCTGGGAAATGGAAACAAAAGTTTTTTTCTTTATTGCTGTTTTTCTTTTATTTTTGTCTTGTTTGTTCATTTATCTGTCTTTGGAAGGGTAAGCAGGCACAGAAATATAGGCAGAGAGGGTGAACTAATGCAGCAATAGTACTCACTAGACACTATGTTGAAAATGAACTATACAACTTGTGGATGGGGACAGGAGGAAAAAAACTGGAAGAGAGAAAGGGAAGTGGTGATACTGTCCAAAAAAAAAAAAAAGCACTCTTTACCCAACTTATGTAACTGTAACCCCTCTATACATCACCTTTATAATAACAATAAAAAAATTTAAAAACTTCTTGGTCAAACCATGTAACCTAATTGTGGCCAGAAAATGGAGCCATTGTATCTTCAAAGGAAAGAAATTTATGTTCCTTCCATAACACAAAAATGATATCCCAAAGTGTAAGCATTTCTGCCTTGGTTGAGTCTAACTCTACTTACAGCAAGAGTATACTTAATTTTTTTATTTTAAAATTAATTCACATAAAAGAAACCTGTCCATATCATAGTTATCATTAAAGTAAGAGTTGGTCTTTACTATAGAAGTTAAAAAGGCTTGCAATCCATGAAAAAGTTTGTTTTTTTATTGATATTTACTTCTGAAAGTATAGTAAGAAAAGACTTAGTCTGAAATGCTTCTTTTACCAATTATAAAGAAAACATCAATTACCAGGCCAATTACTGAATTGCAGATTAATGTTCATATTTCCCTTAACGTATAGACATTATTTTTGTTCACTTGAAAATATTTTTCCAGAATCCTAAGAACTTACTCAGATGATTCAAAAGTACTAGATTAAATCACAAAATTAATTGTTGCAAGGGCATTAACAACAAAAAATTTTAAAAGGACTCGATATCATAGTTTGATATTCCCACTAAAAACACAGTGATAGGTGCTTAACACAAGTATTCTCACTGGAACTATCAGTAATTTTCCATTCTTGGTCTTACCAGACAGAAATTTGATTAAAAAAAAAAATTTCCATGTTAAGCACATAGAGTTGAAAAAAAGAATGTCAAATATTTGTTCAAAGTCTATGCTAATAATAGCTTTCATTTTTAAAAAAATTACCTTTAAGTCAACCACTTCTTCATTATAATTATCTTGCTTGGTGACATTTGAAAAGGAGCGCAAGGCTCCTGTGAGCCGAGGCAAAGCCATCTATTACTCAACCAGTGATCCACACAATGAGATATCTGAAATAGAAAAAAAAAAAAAAAAGGATATTTATCTATCCAGAAATGAGAAGTTCGAAGAAATGCAACAATTAGACCTGTACAAGGGAAAGAAAATTACCAGGGTTAAAAATAAAAAAGCAATGACCACCAAAATTCCTAACAGATAAGATGTTCCAGCAAATAATAGCTGGTGACTATATAAAAAATGTGCCATGTCACCTCACACAGTTCAGGGATTTCAATTACTGATACATCAAAGCACATTAACTTCAAACTTTTGCAAAAGTAAATAAAGACATCAGTAAAGCTACAGTACAAATATTAATGTACACACACACACACACACACACACACACACGCCTCTACTCAATGATGAAAAAAATATGGGCTGGGAAGGTGGCTCAGTGGTAGAGGGCTTGCCTTGCATGCATGAGGCCCTGGGTTCGATTCCTCAGCACTACATAAGCAGGAAAGAAAAGCCGGAAGTGGCGCTGTGGCTCAAGTGGTAGAGTGCTAGCCTTGATCTGAAGACCTGAGGAACAGTGCCCAAGCCCATAGTTCAGGCCCCACGACCAGACAGCCCCCCCCCAAAAAATATGTATTATCAAGCATATTTGAAATGCTTTTACAGAATTCTTATAGATTGTAGGGCGAAAAGTCAACATTTCAGGGATTAGTAAATTTTTCATGCAAAAACTAATAAATATTGTGAGTGTGGCAAGAGATATTAGTCTCTCCTATGTAGTTTGTCTTTTTTTTCCCTAATGAAACCTTAAAAGTATAAGATTTAGTGGGTACAGTAGCTCGTGCCTATAATCCTAGCTTTTACTCTAATTCACAAGTCTGGAAAATTCTATTAAAGAAGTAATAGACACAAACTCTGAAGAGAAATGTAACAGTAAAGCCTGATAATACAGTCAGATTGTTACATATTACACTAATATGAAACTTTAAACAAGAATCTGTTGCTTCTTCAGTCTATTTTAAGCACCACATATATCTCAAATTGTGGGCATCATGCTCCCATCAAATGGCTTCCCTGTTTAACAATGTCCCTCCCTTTTTAAAAAAGTATAAAAGGTAGCTATTAAACACAAGTCAATTTTTCCACCCAGAGTTCATCTAAAGAAAGTGGAGAAAAAGATGGCTGTGCAGGATACATTAAGAGACAATATGTTGCTTTCTAAGAGCCAGAAAACTGTACTCTTGGAAGCCTTAATGATAGAAAAAATATATTGGTCTAATGTTATATCCATTGTGACAACAATAAACCTTGTCATTAAGAGTGTGTCCTCTACTAGAAAGGAACAAGAAACTTTAATTTACTTAAGTGAAGATAAAGTTAATGCCCAAACCTTTGCAAATACAAAATTATTCTTTTTTGTTTTGCCAAACTGTCCCCTGAAATTACCTGTGTTACTTCCTCTATGGGCAACAGTTATTCAACCAAACATTAGTTTTGTAGATACAGTCTGTAGTTAGTTGACATAAAAGATCGTGCTAGGTTAAAAACAAAAGAGAGAGAGAGACAAAGAGAGAGGGAGGGAGGGAGGGAAGGAGGAAACAGTATGATGTGCAGAGTTTAAATGATTGGTAATTTCCTAACTAGCTCACTTCAGATCCAAAGTCATTCTTTAGCAAGAAGCAAATACTCTTGAACTACAATTAAGTTAGGAAACACAACTGGAAGCATGGAGAACAGAGAAACTACAAGAACCATTATTACTTACCATTATTACTTGCATTTTTCATAATATAAAATACATACTTGGTTTACTAAAAACAGCACAATTTGCATGGTGCTGATAGTTACTTCACTTATCAACTACTTATATTAACTGCAGGTTTCCCACCCAAACAATAGATTTTGAAAAGAAAAGACAAGCGAAAAGAAAAGGAAGGAAGGAAGGAAGGAAGCAAGCAAGGAAGGAAGCAAGCAAGGAAGGAAGGAAGCAAGCAAGCAAGCAAGCAAGCAGGCAGGCAGGCAGGCAGGCAGGCTCATAACCATAAACCATTGCCTTCTTATTAAGTTCTCCACAGGTACATTATTTTAAGGAAACAATAAGTATTTTCTTTATATATATATATATATATATATAGTAAAGATACTGTATTTTTGCTTATATATTGAAACTGGAGGCTCTAATATACATACAACATTTCTCTGCACTCACAAAATACAGAATAAAAAAAAACAAAAAAAATACAGAATAAGTCTGCCACCTGACCTACTTTTTTTTAATCATGTGGACAAATTCTCAGATGCCTTCTACAGTTAATATTAATTCTGACACTACTTGAAATTAGTGTCAGATTTCACAAGTTAAAAGTCTCACAAGACTGCCTCCACTTCAGCTGCCACAATCTTGGACCTCCTAAGCTTCAGTTTGGTCAGCTGTAATTTTTGTGTTCCCATCACACTTTGAGTTGGATAGATTGTAGGAGTCGTTCACAGACCTCAGGGAAATACTTAACATTTATTATAAAGGACAGTTCAAAGGGTGCAGATGAAAAGATAAAAGGTAAGGAGTCTGTATCCCTATGGAATTGAATAGTGCCAGCTATCAGCCAGTAGATGCTTTCACTAACCCACAAACAAATCAGATCTCCTTCCAGAGTTTTTATAGTTAAGTCTATAGCTTCAAAACTGAGTGGGACTGAAAATTCTAGCACTCTAGTTACTTAGTCTTTTTGGTGACCTACCTAGCCTGTCACCATGTTAGCATAAATCCAGGTAGATCAGCAAAGCCAGCAAACCTCATTTTAATTTCCAAAAGTGCAGAAGTCGTGACTTTACCAGCATATTTACTAGCCTATGCTGAGGAACTCAATAAATACTTGTTGAATCATATGTATTTAGAGCACTGAATTGTGAAGCTGTCCCAAAGTGATTTTTAGATTATCTCCCATCATGCCAATCCCCAGAATATACATTGTGCTGACATTTTTGCAAAACCCTTCACACCTCTGAGAATGTTGGGGGGGGGGAAGGGAAGTGAATCGCTGTAGTGCTAAAGGTACTGTTCTAAGACAGATTTTACTTTAGAAAATGCATTCTCACTTGAAAAGGTATACTAAAATTATTTTTGAATTAAATATCACCTAAATTCTTCTTGAAAATCATTTATGTAAAATAAATCAAGATAAAGATCCATTTATTTTTATTTACACTTAGGAGAGTTTAATATCTTTGTATTGTGTTTCGTCTGATTAGCCTACATATTTTGAGAAAAATTCCTTTACTTTCCTAGAAGAAAGTAATAAATCTATGATCTTTATTCATTTCAATATACACCATAGATTTGCTCTTTCAGAATAGATTTTGAATTTTCCTTGATTAAATTTACATATTGCACTTATTAGTTATTCAAAATTGAGTACCTTCCTAGCTATTCACTTAATTTAAAATGACCTAACAATCTCTGAAACTGGAAACCATTAACAGCTGCTTTTCTAACTAATACATAATCCTGAAATAAGTTACTTTCCTTCTTTTGAAGTTCAGGTTTAATGGAACAGATATTATCTAAAATGAAGAGGCTGTTGAATTCATAGTTCTAAAGTAGTTTTCCTACAATTGTGTGCATTGTTATAACTGAGGCAACTCGTTAAAGTATTATGCCCATATACTATACCCCAAAATTGTACTTCGGTTGTTTGGTAGTCTTCCCTTCAGTCTTTAAATAATGAGGCATAAGCTTTCTCTTCTTCAAATGTAAACAATCACTTTATTAAAACATATTCTGAGAATGCTTATTGTTAACTAGGATTTTTAATTATGCACCTATCTACATTCTTACCTAATTGTTCTTGTCAGTACAATACTAAATGCAATGCTACAAGTTTTCTTTGGAGAAGTGAAAGGCTAGACAAAATTTACCAAAATTCAGTTGAGGAGATAAATGAAAATCTGTTTTAGTATTAAAGGTCCTTAAAGAGTCAATAATATTGAGAAGATACATAATGTTATAGTAATGATTTAAAATAAAGATAACTAAGTCTAGATGCCAGTTTTTGTTTCATGGTAGAAAAATCAGGTTAAGTTTTCTGGTCAACAAATAAAATGAAAAACAATAAAATGAAAAGAGATCACCAATGATTTCTAATACCCCTTTCAGGTTGAAAACCTGAGAATGAATATGAATTGAATTGAATTGAAATGAATATGAACTGAGTTGCATTATTTTTAAGAACAGAGAGAGTGTGTCAGAAATAAGGCAACCTGTGAAACACAAAAATAAGGCAAGCCAGGACAGATGGCTCACACTTACAATCCTCGCTACTCTGAGGATTGTGGGTGGAAGCCAGCCAGGGTAGGAAAGTCCAGGAGATTCATCTCCAATAAACTACTCAGAAAAAGTCGAAGTGGCAAGTAGTAGGGCATTATTCTTAAGCAAAAGAAACTTAGGAACAACACCTAGGCCCTGAATTGGCAAACAACAACAAAAAAACATAAGGCAGGAATATGAAACATAACTTTGTCTATACAGGAAAGAAAGGGCTTAAATGGTACATGCTAACATTTTATACAGTATCTATTATGGGCTAGATATTCGAATAGGCAAAAGATATAAGACAGACAATCCAGTCTATGTTAAATAACTTTACATTATAAAGTGAGAGACAGACTTGTAATGCATGTTTTCTGATGATTGCTAAATATATATCAAATACAGACTGAGAATCCCACATCTCTTATATAAATGTTAGGAACAAAAAATGCTTCAGGTTTTGTTTTATTCAGATTTTAAAATATCTGCATGTACAGAATGAATCTTATTGAGGATGGGACTCAATCTTAAAATACGAAATCCATTTGTTTCATATATTCCCTCTCACAAACTTGAAGGTGATTTTTGTACAAAATTTTAAATAATTATGTCCATGAAACAAAGTTCCATGGTAGAATTTTCTACACACAATGTCATTTCAGAACTCAAAATGTTCACATCAGAAAGCCTTTGGATTTTGGATTTTCAGACTAAGGATGCTCAACCTGTAGCTTAATCTCATCTCTTTGTTGTTTATTTTTTTTCTTTGCTAAAATTTCAATTTTAGGTAGACCCCCCTCTCAGCTAAGTGTGCAACATTATATCATGACACATTTGGACTGAAAGTGCTTATGCTAACTAATTCCCCAAGGAATATATATTACTTTGATAGATAAATACCATACATTTGGCAAATAAATACCATACATTTCCTGATGAATATGCCTCATGCATTTAACTCATGAACTATATGTCATTAACACAAGAAATTAATCAAGCCAATATAAAAAGACTAGAAAAATAAGACTTTTATTTCCAGTTGTGAACTTTAGAATAACTCTCCAAAAAAGAAAAACTCCTCTTAATTGAAAAATCAATGTCATGTTAATAAAAAGATAATAATTAATCAAGCTATTTAACAACGATGATGTGTTCAAATTATACACTGATATGATCTCCACATAAAGTGCCCCCTAAATGGCTCTTTTGTTAAAGATTTGGTTGTCAGCTTATGGGTACTGGGGAAGTGATTGGATCCTGAGGGCTTAAGACAAATCAGTGGATCGACTCCTTAATGGATTCATAATTTGATGGGAAGTTACCAGAATGCAGGTAGCAATGCCTAGTGAGGGAAAGCAGATTAGTGGAGTCAAGCCCTTAAAAAGAGGGGGGGAGAGAGGGAGGAAGGAGAGGGGAGAGGGAAAGGAAGAGGAAGAGGGAGAGCGAGATTGGAAGCGGAGGGAGGGACAGAGGGAGAGGGAGGGAGAGAAGGAGAGAGGTAGAGAGAGGGAGAGAGGGAGAGAAGGGGGAGAGGGAGAGGGAGAGAATGGGGGAGAGAGGGAGAGAGAGAGAGAGAGAGAGAGAGAGAGAGAGAGAATTAATCTTCTTTTCTGTGGCAGCTTTGTTTCCTGGCTGCCATTGGATGAGCAGTTTCACTTTCTTTCCTGGTTGCCACTGGATGAGCAGTTTCCCTGCCAGGAGCTACTGTGCCAAAATGTTCTGCTCTGCCACAGACAGACGCATGCATTGGAACCAGGCAACCATAGACTGAAATCGTGTACCAAAATCAATCTTTCCTCTCTTAAACTGTTACTGAGAATAATGTATATATGAAAGAAGCCTTTCTGGATCAACTAGAGAGCCACAGCACAAAAATACTCTTTTCTTAAAAAAGGTACCACTAAACACGGAAAGTTCCATGAGCACGGAAACTATTTCTTAGGACTTTACATTGGCTAGCACATGCGAAGGCATGAATAAATAAGAGAATGAACACTAAAAGAAAACCATTCAACAGAGATCAAGAAAGGCAAGTAATGAAAACTTATTCACACAAGATTATTGAGCCCAAGCTAGATCCTTTTCCCCAAACAAGACTAGTATAGCCTTTACTAAACCTTTCTATACTTGACGAAACCTTTACTACAACATGAACTTGGGGGGACGGGCAGAAAAATATCATTATGGAGTGCAATTGTGATAGCACTCCTATCAAACTTAGTTCCCGCTAAAAGGATGCTTCTTTTAAACCAAACTAATAAATGCACATTATAATATACTGAACTCCGTGAATGCGTTAACTTATGGTTTCAAAAAAGGGCGCAGCTTTTTACAGCTGCTAAAATTCACCCACCAAGAATCGACTCCCTGTGGTGTCTGGGTGGAAAGGAAGGGTGTGTACGTACAAGGTGCCAGATTGCCTTCTCAGAGCCTACGATCCTGACGAAAACGATACTACCACGGCAAAACCAGCCAATCAACAGCGGGCAACGAGTGTCTCCAGCTCTTTCTTCTGGTTCCCCTCTCCCCCCACCTACAAACTCTAGAAGTGAGGTGAGACAGGTCTGGGACGGGACGCTGGGGGCCCGGGGGGCGGGGGGGAGCCGGGGACAGGGATGACAGCTCCGGGCTGAGGCTCCGGGGGTCGCTCCCCACCCCAGTTCCGCTTCCCGGGCCTTGACATCCCTACTCCGTGTCCTCACCTCACCGTCCGTCAGCTCCCCCCGGACCTGGACACCCCCCCCTCGCCCTCCTCACCTGTTGGCCGGGGCTCACGAGGCGCCCATTGCTCCGCCGCTCCGGCCGCGGCGCCTCCTTCCCTTTCGCTTGTACTTTTTTTCCTTCCGTCGCCAGGTGGGGAGCTGAAGGAGGCGGATGGGCGAGCTACACGCCACGCCCTCCTCCGCACCCCACGCGAGGCCGGCCGGGGTGGCTCCAGTCACCCCGCCTCAAGCTCGAGGACCCCGGGACAGCCTGGCGAACTCACAAACCCGGCGAGGTGCGACGGGGCGGAGCGGGCGCAGGACCTACACGTCACCAGCCTCTCACGGCGCCGCCGACGTCGACACGTCGCTTCCAGGCTGCCCTTCGCCCCGCCCCCTGGAGCGAGCTGTCACGCCCCGCTCCCGGCTCTCCAGGCTGCCCTTCGCCCCGCCCCCTGGAGCGAGCTCCCGCCCCGCTCTAAGCTCTTCAGGCTTAGCCACGCCTCCTTGCCTGCCCCGCCCCTTGCCTGTTGAAACCCTGAGCGAGCTGTCCGGCCCCACTTCCTGCTTTCACAGCAGTCTCCGTGGACTCGGGTCCTGCCTCGGGAACGCGCTTCCTCCCATCAGGCTTGCGTGCGCGTCCCCGGGGCCTTCTGGCTGGGAGGTGTCTACACCGGGCAGCCACGCGTCCTTCCTCCCAAGCTGCCTGTTTGCGTTTGAATATTGACATCAGATAATCTCACTTTGAGATGAATAGCGAAGTTAGATAAGAATCAAGTGGGTAATTGCAATCGAGGTCCTAACGTAGAAAGTTCGTCGCGCCGGTGCTGCTGGCCACGTTGTACGTGGTTCTCTGTCCGCAGGTCTGAGTTCTCGGTTCTGAAGTTATCTCTGCCAGCCGGTCCTTTCTTTGAGGACCACTGTTCAAAGTGAAACGCTTCCATACGGAAGAAACAGAAAGACACTAAGCCAAAGAACTGTGTGATGTCTGTGGATAGCTTTGACCTAAAAGCACCTAAAGGAGCAGACATAGTCTGAGTTGATAATGTGCTGTGATTCGCCTCTTCCATTTCCCCTTTCCTGTGAAGGTAAAGTGTTCTGTTGCCTAGTAGAACCAGGTTTTGTTGTTGTTGTTATTGTTTGAACTATGTTTTATAGAGAAGCAGCAGATGGTAATTATCTTCACCTGCTAGCCCACATCTGCAGTACTACTTTAAGCAGATGTCAATCAAATTAGGATTATTTCTAGGAGATGACAATAATGACAGTAACTGGGAAAGGTTTCCCTAGAAAAGAGGAAGCTCCTAGGCCATCTCCCAATATGAAAATATTCATCCATCCATCCAGTGAAATAGATTTCTTCACGGAAACATTTCAGATTCTGAAAAGATCCCCTTTTAGTACAAGCCAAAGAAGTATATATACCTGTATTAATACCTCAACCACTAGACTTCTCTCCAAGTAGACTCTGAATGGTCACATAAAGGTAGAGACTTGGTACAGGAATAATGTGTCAAGAGAAGAATTGGCTGATTGTTTTGTTAAGGTTATTTCTAACCTTGAGATTTGATGAGTCAATGGTCTGGAATTGGAAGAATTTACAAGTTAACTATTAAAAATAAAGAAAGGCAGGTGCATGAGAATGAAAAGTGCTTGACTGTACCCATCTCACCCATAGGAATATGGAGTTACAGAAGTTTCAGTGCGAAGTAAATTGAAAATAGACTAGCCACAGTTGTCACTGTGCATTGGTGAATTGGTGAGATGTGAATTGTCCAAGTAGAGACAAACAATAAGTGCAAAATATATGTTATATTTCTTTTTTTTTTTTTTGGATCCGGTCATGGGGCCTGAACTCTGGGCCTGGGCGCTGTCCCTCAGCTCTTCAGCTCAAGGCTAGCGCTCTACCACTTGAGCCACAGGGCCACTTCCGGCTTTTTTCTTTTTGCTTATGTGGTGCTGAGGAATAGAACCCAGGGCCTCATGCATGCAAGGCAAGCACTCTACCACTGAGCCACCTTCCCAGCCCTATATGTTATATTTCTAAGAATAGTAAAGCAAATGTAAAATATTTGTATATATGTATGTACATATGTTACATATAACTAAATGTATATGTTATATATGTGTGTTATATGTGTGCATATGTTTATATATGTAAATATATATATGTTCTAACTACTGTAAAATGAATTTCGTTTGGATTAGCCACTAAAGAAGTCCAGTCTCATTTGGACTTGAACCAAGCCTTCAGTGGCTACTGATATTGAATATTTTTCATTATTTGTTATCAATTGTATTTCTTTCTTTCCTTCTTTTTTTTTTGTTGCTGGTTCTGGGTCTTGAACTTAGGGCCTAGACACTGTCTCTGAGACTCATTTTGCTGAAAGCTAGAGCTCTACCATTTAAGCCACAGCTCCACTTTTGGATTTTTATGAGTAGTTTACTGGAGATAAGAGTCACACAGACTTTCCTGCCTGGGCTGGCTTTGAACCACAATCCTCAGATCTCAGCTTCCTGAGTAGCTAGGATTAGGCATGTGCCACCAGCACCTAACTGTATTTCTACTTTAAAGAAGTATCTGTCCAGATCAATTTTTTGTCTTAAAAATGGAAATTATTTGATTTTTGCTATCTTTGAATTCCTTATACATTATGAATATTAACACTTTTTCAAATAAATACTTGGCAAGTATTTTCTCCCATTTGTAATTTCCCTATTTTGTGATTGTTTTCTGTTTTAAGTATCAAATCTTTTGCATACTAGGAAACACACTCCACCAACTGATACATCTTCAACCCTGTTGATTATTTCTTTTGTTATATGGAAGGTCTTCATTTTTATATCATGCTGTCAAATTTTGATTTCCTTTCATGTGCTTTTGAGGTACCATCTAGAAAGCCTGTAACAATATCTTGAAATATTTGTTTGAAATTCATTTGTTTCAATGAATTTACAATTTTTCCTTTCAATTTCTTTGATGATTTATTGTTCTCTGAAAAATGGGTTATTCAATAGCATGTATTTTTTTTCCTGGTATTTAACCTATTCTTAGCATGTCAAGTGATTTTTTCATTCATATTAACCACAATTAATGGAGCATTTATCATACCATCCACAGCTTGCTCAGCATTGTGGAAAATTTCAAACAAAAAATATATGTAGTTTCTATTGATGGAAAAGCTCTGAAGCTCTGTAGTTTGCAAGATTGGGAGAAATTGGAAAATAGAATCCATAGGATGTTTCTGTGTAACATCTTGTAACTGCTCAAGAAAAAAGCTTAACACAATTAAAAATAAAAATGTGTATGGTAGCTCTTGTACAAACAAATATATGTAGTGTCTAGGAACATAGATCTTTGATGATGGTAATTTAATAGCTAAAAAATGGTAGCATGAATATTCCATAAGCAGATTTCCTTTCTATGCTTTACGTTGTATTCACAAGTACACATAGTTGACACTGAGTGTTTGTTTAGTAAATATAATTTCCTTTGTATACTCAGTTGCTCTCTTATTATGTCTAAGGACTTGCTCTTTAAAAAAACTATTTGGATATAGCTTTTTTTTTTAATTGTGAGAATACCATACAGAGGAGTTACAATTACATGGCAAGATAACAAGTACATTTCTTATCAAGCATTGTTGCCTCCTCTTTGTTTCCCCTTCCCATCCCTTCCCATACTCCTTCCCTCCCCCCATCCCATCCTCCCCCCACACCCCCACCACCAAAGTTGTTAAGTTCATTTTTCTACATAAGGACGTGTACATCTCATTGTTGCAATGGGTCCACCTGTATCCCTAGTTAAATGATTTGTTTTTTCCCTTCCCCTCCACAAATTATACCAACATCAAATACAGTGCAAGTATGGGTTATACTATGGGGGACGGACATACAATACAACATAGAAATCATCTTATAAATATGATAGAAACAATTGCATGAAAGGAAAAAAACAAAAAAATTGAATACTTATCTTGGGGTTCATTCCACTAACATCAACTTATCTGACCTTTTCCCCTTGACTCATACATATACTAGATATTGCAAATGAGGGAAACCATGAGACCTATGTTTCTTTGGGCCTGGCTTACTTCACTTAATATAATTTTTTCCAAGTCTTTCCATTTCCTAATAAATGGGGCAATGTTATTCTTTCTGATGGAGGCATAGAATTCCATTGTGTATATATACCACATTTTCTTGATCCATTCATCTACTGAGGGGCATCTGGGTTGGTTCCATATCTTAGCTATAGTAAATAGTGCTGCAGTAAACATAGTTGTGCTGGTAGCTTTAGTGTGGTCTTGTTTGTGATCATTTGGGTAAATGCCCAAAAGTGGGATTGCTGGGTTATAGAGGAGCTCTATGTGGAGTCTTTTAAGGAACCTCCATACTGCTTTCCAAAGTGGTTGAACAAGTTTAGCTTTTTAAGTACTGAGATGCACCAAAGTAGAGAATTGTAAGTGTAGAACACCCAATGCAGGAATTACACATTTCTAGCACTCTGTAGTACTTCCTCAGGATCTCTTCTGTTCACCGAAATCCTCAGCCCCACCCAACCACCTGAAAGTACCTGGCTTTGGAAATCATGTTAAGGAACTTGTATGTTATGTCACTCAACATAGTTTATATGGTTGCTCTCAAGTCTTTAATTTGTGAGAGCTGTTGATAGATGAAACATTTCCCATCCTCCTTTTAAAAAGTGCTTGCTCATAGAAGAAGCCAATAAAAGAATTGAGAAGGTTTTTTAAATTACAGTCAAATGCATTATAAATGGAACTGACCTTTAAACTTCAAAGATAGGTTATACTTACCTTAAGGAGTAGCAAAATCAACATGGCTGCCATACTGCAGGGTTACTCTTTAGCTTGATGTCTTCAAAATCTGAGTGAAGTTAGTGGCTGTCAGTGCTCAAACAAATCTGAATACAGGCCAAGAGGAGTCTGGACCAACTACAAAGCAGAAACACAATTCCCACTCTTATTTCAGACCTCAACTACCAGTTGGAGGGTCCTCGCTCCCCCCGCCAAACACTTGAGGATCGATAATTTGCTAGAAAGACTCACAACACTCACTGAAAGTTATCACATTCACCACTTATTCATTTTAAAGATCAGCCAAAGGAAGATATACAGAAAATGGATCCACAATGGTTTCAAATATGAAGTTTCAATTGTCCTTTAGACAGGGTATCAAGCTATTATTGTTCTGGTATCTATCTGAAACAATACACATAGAGTATTATCGCTCAGGGATGTTCACCTGACCTTA